TATATATATTCGGGGCTTGATTTAATTCTATTCATCTTACAATCCATAAAGGTGTGATTGTGTAATCCCACGTACACTACCTCGAGGAGATCATTTGACTGGAGGGGAAAATGATAATTCCCCGTACATTAATATTTTATGAGTAGTTTTTATATACATATATCATCGGCTTCCGAAAGCATGTCTGAACAACCATCAATGGCTGCAGGAATTTAGTTTCAGTAGATTTATCTGCCAACAATCCGAATTTGCGCTGCGAAGAAGCCCGTCCAATAGAAGATAAAAAAGGCTTGAAGCGATCGGTTTGAGGATTTTATTTCTGTTGAAGATTTCCCAAGTGGCAATAAAATAAAACGTTGTCAAGAGGGTAAACGGATCATAGTAACGATAACTTTTGGTTAATCAGTTCATGCATTCTACCTTCGGACGCATACACTCTACTCTATTGCAACTTCCTCCTGTATGGGCGACGGACGTCTCACAGTGTACTAGTGAACACCGAACGTGACCTAACCAAACCTGAAACGACTTGTTGTCCTTAGTCTCTTATTGACAATCACGATAACACACGGGTTATCCTCATGACGAGGAAGTGCGCCCGTCCTTGTGTGCCACGCCAAATATTCAAAACGTATATCGAACGGAGTATTGAACTTTCGAACCAGGAATACAGGTGTTGGAATGATCTAAACACATTGATCTCTACCATACCGGGAGGACTTAAATGACTATGCACGTGCTAAAATTATTTATATTTTGACTATTTTATCTAATTAGTGTAAACCACTTTCAGTGGACTGATATGATTCGAATGACAGGCACCAGGCAATAAAAACAAATGAAGAATTTGTTATGAAGCACCGACAAAGGAATTTTTATTTGGTTAATATAGAGATAAGTAAAAGAAAGGGAAGTAGAACAAGAAATTCTCACTTTCAGAGAGAGAAGAAAAAGTAGGTGATCAGATCGCAACTGACTTGGAATCAACTCTCGGCAACAAACAGTATCCATAGTGAGTCAGTTTGGGACCGGCTATGGGCTGTATTGAGCACCAGGAACGTGGATGCCCAATAGGAAGGTTGAAGTGCTTAACCGACTGAGCACTGACTCCCGATGAATTACGGAATTGAAGCAATGATTAACTTACAACTTTGCAAACTAAACTATTCTGCAAACGCTCGAGACTAAGTCCCTCAAGTCACTCTCTTATTCGGGCTCAGATGACACAACCACAACATTCGCACCAAAGGGAACCAAGAAAAAAACCTTTGGTTTATCCATTTTTCGTTCATTTTACTTGTCATTGTGCAAAGTTGTAGTACCCTTTTTATTTGAGGCTTTTTATTTATTTGTTAATGTATAAAAGATAGCTGAAAGCAAAACATAACCTTTATCAATATTGTTTTATCAACCCATGAGTTCGCTGACACAAACACGTGAGAAAACCGCAATAAAATGATTACAAACGCAAAATAAATTACAGACACGCATTCACGAGGAAGGAACAGAGGACAAAAATGAAGGACACAATTTCCCAATCTACTACCTTCTTGCTTCAATGATTTTCCTCTGTGTACAAATACCCAACCGTTAACGATACCTTCACATCCTACATAGACAGACGCGCGTGGTTGTGTAAGCGCGTAGATGACGATGTTCTTTTTTGTCTAAACGGACCTACGTGGACCTTCGGTTTAGTTCTTGCAATGGAAGAGAACTAAGGCGTATGGCAGAAAATAGTCAAGTTATTCTGATAGAACAGACAATCAAAGGACTAAAAAAGAAGCAGAAAGCAAGGCAAAATTCGGAGCAAAAAAACTGATGGATTCAAGTGACGAACTTTCCTTGTGTTATCTAACACTCTTGTCGTATTGTAATATATCTGCCAATCTGCTGTCATCTCAGATTGAACATATCAAACAATCAAAATTAAAGGCAAGCTATAAAGCGTGTCTATCAGCAATTACATAAAGAGCCCAAGACAGTGACAATGAACATTTCGCGTTTCAATAAGATGAAAAGGGGCAGGCGAATCATAAATAACACCACAGTGCTATTTTCAAAAATGGATGAACTGACTGAGCATGGAACGTAAACAGTGACGTGTTCAAGTATGTCAAAACAACGTTACTCTAGCAGTGAAAACCGCGGTGAATTGTCGTATTTTGCATTATCCAAATTCCACGCTCCCATTTGGGATTAGCAACAGCCTATGATTAGAACGCCAATTTTTCGATAACAACAGATTGTGATGGTAGTGTTCAAAATGAAATAGCATTCAATAATAAATAAACTAGGGCTAGTATGCACCAACCCGAGGTAGTAATGGTGATCTACGGTCTTCTTTACTCTACCCCTCCTACTTGAAATAACATAAAAGTACTAAAATTAATTTCCAGGAGTCTCTAACAAACACATTGTTCAAGTGACTACACTTTACCTCTAGTGAAGATAGTGTTCTATTGTGTATTCAATAGTTTTACAGAATATTTCGAGAAATTATTGCATTAGTGGATGTATTGCTTATTAAATGAAGCGTTAGTCGATAGGTTTCTGAGAATCCTGATCACGTACGCAACCAAGACAAACTTGGATAGGAACATGAGGGAAATGAACGGGCTCTGGATGGAACCACTGTTTGTGGCCAAGTGGTTAGGTCGCCAACTTGTGACCTGGGTGTTCCGGGTTCGAACAGCTGCACTGCTGCCCTTCTTCCCTATTTCTGTATTTTCCCAGGCAACCTTTGTATGGCCGCAGCCCCCTTCCTGAATGTTGACTGTACATTTGTATATTCAATAAATAAAAGAGGAAGAAAAACGACATTTACTTTATTATATGCTTGTTATTTATTATGACGCATTTATACTTTCGATAAGCTATCCTAGTATGTCTGCCGCTCATGGCTAAATCAGTCTTCGGTCATATTTTAGCACGCAGTGGAAGTTTATTGTTTGATAACAAATTGCCGTATCTTGTAAATGAAACAGTTCAATAATGCATACAGTTGTATGAGTTTAAATGCCTCTAATCAAGTGAATGGATCAGACTACACATTTGACTATGTAATTGAATTACCTGTGTAAGTACGATCGTCGAGTAATATTTTGACTTCTCCACATANGAAGGGGACGATAAGATCGATCGAAAAGACCACTTTCCCGAACTTTGCGGGATGATTTGGGGCGCACGGATTCGAGACTCAAAAACCTCGAAATCAAGAAATA